TTTTGATGCGGTTTTTTTTAATAGATAGAGTGATTCTTAAGGAAGGTTTGTATGTATAATACATGCATATTGCACCCGTGCGAAGCCGGGGCGGGTCACTAGTTAACAATAAATTAAACATCACACAATCTAATGTTAGATGAAAGATATTACTGGTTTCTTAACAACCTTTCTCTTCAATGAAAATTTTTTATATTCTATGTTTTACATAGAGTAGTGAAGTCATTACCTGTTCTGTTAAATGTGAGAGCAGCTCATCTTTATCCACTACATCATCAAAGTTTTCTTCATCCTCTATTTCAATAACGGGTACCTCATCTGGGTACTTGGCTGTGTATGTAAAGACTAGTTGACACGCGAGCCCTTCTCCTTCATCAAACCCTTCCGATTTGATAGGTATACTAAACTTGTGGAAGGGTTTTGTTTCAATAACTGCAATATACAATCATTCAATTTTAATTAAGTAACTACCAACTATAAGTTACTTGGAAGTAGTTTAAAATAATTTAATAGTAATACAAGACTCCAGATTAGATAGCAATTTAAGACCAAAGAAGATAAATGTGCACCGGTGAATACAACAAAAGTTTTTCTTCAGACACAACAAAATTCACACATGACAACTAATTTAGAAAGGACGGTTTTACAGTAACATGTTACAATACTTACTTTGCATATCTCCATAATAAATAGAGTCTAAAGCTTCCACCTCGCTCGCCTGCTCGTATTGGTAATCCATGATTTATTTTTAATTTCACACGTTTTACTTGCGATTCCACAGTTCCCACATACACATTGTCAAACAAGGTGTCAAGGTGTCAAACTGTCAATTGTGATTGTCTATATGTCAATGTCACGTACGATCATAGACAATACGAAGTTACAAAAATTCTTTGCCATCGACATTTTTATAGGCCTGTGGCCATAGACGACGAGCTCATATTGCTCTTATTCAAATAAGCAAGTTTAAGAAAAACAATGTCAATGTCATAATTTTTGTTGTCAATTGTCAAAGACAGTGCTGAGTGCTGTCAAATTCATAAAAGTGCTTGTTTATTTTTGTGAATTTAGAATTTACTATAGTTATTATTTCAATTGAATTGTTTTAGTATAATAATTGTGATCTACAAAATGGATACACCCGATTTATTAACACCTTTTAATCCTCAATCGGATTCAGAGCCATCTAATAATACAACAGGGTCAATATTTCAACAAATACCTACATAGTAACTATAATAAGAAATTTATATTCATCGCTACTTATATCATATTATTAATATTTCAGAAGTGCAGCAATTATCTTAAGTTCATCGACCAACGACGATTTCTCAGAATTACAAGAACAAGCGATGGAGAATATTCAAAAACCTAATGTACCCAATGTAAATGTACCAGAAAGAATAGTTCTTTGCTTGGATGTTTGTTTCGACAACAACAAATCACTGTATCGGCTAGGCGATGGCTCAACATTCACACCGATCAACATGATGAAGAGAGTTATAGAATTTTTCTTACATTCAAAAAATGCAATTAACAAGAAAACTGAGTTTGCCATAATAGTGCTAAAAGGTACAGAAGCTGTTTGGATACAAAATTTTACTAACAACATAAAGGATATTTTAAGTACTATTGAATACTTAGGTCCAGAAGAATGCACATCTGAAATATTTGATATGAAAAATATTTTCAATTGGATACATCAAAAGGTTGAGATACCGGAACACAAGGATGGAGAGAGCACACAGCCACCACCATATGTGGTGCGCTTGCTCGTGTTTTATGTGCGATCAAACTGTATTCCAATAATTCCACAAAATGAAGCTTACTACAGCATTCTCAAGAAACAGTTGTACTTCTACATAGACATATTACTGGCACATGAAGAAGAATGTTCTGTGTACAAATGTGAAGAGGTTTACGATGCACTTCAAGACTTAGATAATGGTTATTCTTATGTATTTGAAGTATCAAGGAATGCAACAAAGATTCATGACTGTATTGCTAAACTGCTTGCCCATCCGCTGCAGAGGCCTTTACAAAAAAATACTGATTATACATTTGGTGCTAAAAATTAAAGCCAAATAATATTATGCATTTTGATATTTGAGTTTGTTTCATCTCATGACTCTTGGTGGCTATTTATATAAAAGTCCCATTCCCAATACCCAATAAAATAATTATAAATAAAATATCTTGCTTTAAGTGATATATGTGTATTGTATAGAGATAGATAAATAAAACAATCAAACTCCTTTGTGATATTTATTTCAGCTCTTAAGAGGGGTTATGATTGGTATAAAAGAAAAAAAAAACTAATGCTATTTTATTACACAATAGTTTCAAATACTTAGACATTTATTATGTACTTTAGAGTTGATCAATATTTTATCAGGCTCCCAGGTTTCACACCATTTATTTACATTTTGCACAAGCAATAAATGCTGTATAGACTGGTCATTACATCTCTACTAATCCTGTATGATAAAAGCTTGGTGAACAACATCCTAAGTTGCACCAGCTAAGATATTTACCTCCAATAACTACTTACAGAAATCAAGTTGTTATTCTAAATTCTCCGGCACAGCCAACATTTTAATTCCATACTTACCGATAGAGATTAATTTATAATACTTGCAAGTTGACTAATTTTGGATATGAAGAAATCTGAATAATCATTTCAAATTATATTTATGCATCTGTAAAATCAGCCAGAAGATCTATATTTCGAGATTGAGCAAAATTAGCAAATGATTTATGTATAACAGACATAAAAATCCCATTACATGTGGAACATTTTCGTTCTTAAAGATAGTTTAGCGAGACAATATTATAAGAGGAATAAAAATATCACGAATAGGCTGTTGTCACAAACACGTAGCAAACATTTAATGAATTGTTAATAAAGTAAAACAAAACTCGCCAAGCTATACATTTAAGTAAACATATAAAAAATAAAAGTAACATGTAAACAAATCATAAAAAATATTGTTTTATTTACAACGATTGGTATTACATCTAAAGCAATTTCAAGGAAGAGTGCTTTCCCCTCTACAATCAAGTATATGCAGACAATGCAAATAAATAAGCATAATTCGGATGATGTTTAGGGTGCACACCTAATGGAATAAAGAATGATTAATACTTTTTGATTAATCCACTTTCTGTCCTTGGGACTTCAAGAGCAATAAATAATTGAGATTATGAGCATTTGTTACATAGTTAAGGGGAGGGTCTTACAATGGCATGAAGCACTAAACAAATGCTTTATTATAATTAAGCTGCAACACTTATCATCAATAGATTACATAATTCAGATTTTAATATCCTACTAATAATTAATTATTCGCCTAATGTAATTAGACTGTTACAAAATTAAATAAAGCTTGTATTACAATAATACGTGATTTCCCCAAGTACAAATGATTGATCAACAAGAGATTTCATACAATTCAGTCACATACATTTCATTTTATAGCTATAATAAAATTACATCTGAGATCCTAGGGGTGTAATGATACACTATCGATGCCTAAGATTTGACACTGGTTAATTTACGAACGAAATAAATAACTTCATGTATCAGTCTCAATATTTTTAAAACTATTTACAATATTGTAATAAATTCAGCCGTTGTCAAATAAAATACCGAGTGAATATCATGCGGAATAAGAATGAGTCAACAGCTACACCTAGCCACTTTATCACTTTCTTAAATCTGTACTCTAATGAACAGTGATACAGATTACATGGAATGATAAATGATTTTACTTACAGTACCTTAAATAAGCCAATATTTGTGATATTAAAAGAGAATAATTAAAGCGTATAACCGCTCAGCCTCATCGCTGACACGTACGTTACAACGGAACTTCGGCAAATCGTATGATGACATTTTATAAAACGTTTCTAAGAGTCGACCGGCCGCACTCGACCGCTCGCGATTTCGTCGTGTAGACGTCCAGCGGAATTATTACGATAGAAGTCGCATCGAGCCGGGCCGGTCGGAGGGACCACTTTGAAAATAAGTCAGTTCACTGCACAGTAACTACGGAGTGGAGGCGCAGTAGGGGCACGGCCCGCAGTACGGCGGCACTGCGGCGGGAAGACGGGACTAGTCGCGCGGCACGGCGACACACAGCGGTCACAGCACGGCGGCGGCCAGCGCCGCCAGCGCCGCCA